TAAAGATCTGGGGGTCTCCTGAGAGAGCTCTTCATCGTATGCAGATTCCAACATTGAATTGGGTTGAGTTTGGAGTTTAGGGTGTTGGATTTTTTTCTTCTTCTTTCTTTAAAAGGATTTCTCTCTCCTGCTTGGGGAAAAGGTTGCATTAGAACCCCAGAGTATCACATTTCTGAATCCTGACCAGCAGATACTGCTTGTGATATTTAAAACTGCAGCCTTTGAAATGCTGTGAAGTGGGGAAAGGACTTGAAGATCTTTAAATTTAAAAATTGGAACACACAGTGTAGCACATCAGGTCAGGCAACCTTGGTCATTCTTCTAAAATATTTTTTTTCAAGGGAACAGGCAGATGTGATTTAGCAATTTGACTGGAAGCAAATGTAAAGCATAAATGTGCCCTTTATCCTGCCTCATAGTTGACTGCAGCATTTCCTGCAGCTGGCCTGGGAGTGCCTGGCAGGTTCCAGCAGAAAGCAGAGCTGCCCTGAATAAACTGCAGGAGATGAGCCTGCCTGCCTTTGTAAAGGGAGAGGAGGCAGGACAACCTGTGCTGCATTTCAATTCCTCACTGCAGTACCTTTCGACCCTGGAGATGTGTCTTCTGTGATGAGACATTTAATGGGGTTGCTTTTTCAGTGGGGTTGCTTTTACCTGGCCCTGAGGACTCCCAGATAACCAGTGGGCTGAGGGAGTGTTGGATGGTGGGGGTGATCAGGATCTGGCTTTACTGCAGTGATGGCCCCACCTCCTGTTGCAGGTGGGGTTTGATGCTTTTTGGGTACTGATGCAAAAGGGTAGTATGGGACATGGGGGCTGCACTTCTGTGCTGTCATAGAATCACAGGTTGTGTGGGGTTGGAAGGGACCTTGAAAGGCCATCTGGTCTGTCCCCCCTGCAGTGCACAGGGACCTTTTTAACTAGATCGGGTTGCTCAGAGGCCTGACCTTGAATGTTTCTAGGGATGGGGCTTCCACAGCTTCCCTGGGCAACCTGGGCCAGGCTCTCACCACCCTCACACTCCACAATTTCCTCCTCATGTCTCACCTCAATCTCCCTCCTCCAGTTTTCATCCATTCTCCCTTGTCTTCTCCCTCCCTGCCCTTGTCCCAAGCCCCTCCCCAGCTTTCCTGGAGCCCCTTCAGGCCCTGGAAGCTGCTCTAAGGTCTCCCTGGAGCCTTCTCTTCTCCAGGCTGAACACCCCAACTCTCCCAGCCTGTCTCCAGAGCAGAGCTGCTCCAGCCCAAGGATCATCTCTGTGGCCTCCTCTGAACTCTCTCCAACAGCTCCATGTCCTTCCTGTGTTGAGGGCTCCAGAACTGGACACAGTGCTTATGTTGGTCAGCCTCAGAGATGATGTGGACTTCTTGTTGCTCCTTTCCAGATGTGCTGTCCAGCAGCAGCCTCAGCTCTGCCCCTTCAGAAGGCAGCTGTCCCTGCACATGCTCTGCCTCGCACGCTGTATTGAGTTGGTTGCCCTTCTTATTCTGAAGGGTAAATGAATGTAACAAATAACTCACAGGAGCATTTGTCTTGCTTCCTGACACCAGAGCAGCTTCTCCCCCTGCAGCCCTTGTGCATGTTGCTTAAGGCAAGATGAGAAGTAACTTCCTCCACAACAAAGCAGACCTGTGATTCCCTTGCTTGTGAGGCCGGCGCTGCCATCCAGCCTGTGCCAGGCAGCCCCCTGCTCTGCTCCAGCACCAGCCCAGCAGCCCTTCTGCTGTGTGAACTAGGCAGTGAAGCCACAACCACCCCTTTGTATTAATTAATGTTGCTACAGAACATTTTGCATGTCTTCTGCTGAGGCCATTAACCAGCTTGCTGCTGGAGATGTGTTCTGCTTAACGAGACAGACCTGCATGCCTTCCACGTTTACCTGTCTCCTGGTGCTTGGTGTGAGGAATGCTGTGAACACACACAGCCCATTAGTCATTCTATTTATACAGTCAAAACCAAATGACACTTCTGTGGAGGAAGGATTAGACTGTACTTGATTTCCCCCTAGACCTTTATACAGGACAGGGAATGTTCTTAACACCCACTGGCACAGTCCTACGTGCCCCCGAGACCAGGGCCTTAATGGTTCAGTTGGGAACACTGGGCATTGGCTGGTATCCCATCTGGGGAGATCAGGAGGAAAAGGGTGTTGTCAAAGAGATGAGAGAGAGACAATCCTGTATTCTTTCTCTTTAAAAACTAAAAGAAGAGGAAAAGACAGAAATCTTCTAGTTAAACCAAAACTCAAGTCAGTAAGATGTTCCAATAATACACATGCATAAATCAGTCTAGTCTTGCTACCTATAGAAGAGTTTTGTAAGAGCTGCAGTTAAACTGGAGGCAACAGAGTATCTCTGTGTTACAGTTTTACTCTCAACAACTGGAATTATGATTCTGCTTTAGACTCTGGGTCGTTTGGTTGGGGCAGCTTCACTCTATCAGAGGTTACCCTGGAGACGGCTCTAAAGCTGGAGCACTCGTGGTATTTTTGAGCTCTTGCACATTCTTCCTTTGGACACCACCAGATGCTCCCTATGGATCAGTGGCTGAGGCAACCAGCTGACTGGAGGCAGACCTTTGGAACTTCTGCATGTCTTCATAAAACACACACTTCTTCCTTTTGCAGGGACATTCCTGTAGACTTCAAGTACATTGCTGAGCCAAGTATGCACTCGATGCCAGCCGTGACTCTGTCTCCAAATGGTAGGTGACACTTCAGTGCCTTCTTGGGCCTCATTTCTGTAGGCACCTCTTACTGACTAGATCTCTGTAACGTGCTGCATCCCCCTGTCACCTCACACTACCCTCCCCCCACATCAATGTGTGTCTTTATTCCAAGATTGGACCGGATCTGTTTGATTATAAAATCTGAAGAAGAAAAAAGGATGTCAAGGTGAGGGGTTATACCAGGCTAACTCTCAATTTAAATGTAGATATTCATCCAGACAGGGCAAAATAATTCTTTCTTTTCATAGAGCTACAATGTACTCCTTGCTGTATTGAAAATACTGAGAGAAGCCATGGTGGGAACTAAGCAAATCCAGCAGTCCTTGTGGTGCCACCATTAAAGCAGAAACTGATCCTGTTAATGCTGTCCCTTTCCATTCTGAATGGAATCCATTCTGAAATCCCAAATTATCTGTGATTCTGTAACTTAATGTTTTGCAAGTTAATGAACTGTTGTTTATGCTCTTCAATTAGAAGCAAACTGAAGGAAGATGAAGGTTTAGTGCCTCCAGTACCACTGAAAATCCTCCTAACAGGACAAAATCTCTGTTATCTGTTCTGGCCAAAGTTAAATGGCTTTAGTATCAACACTATTAAAGTGCTGCCAGATTTACAGTTACCAGTCCCACTATGCCAAGTGGCTGATCAGCTTGTTGCACAGCTGAAGTTTCCAGCCAGCTATCAGCACCAAATTGTCTTTGCTTTGCAGTGTAAAGAGTTTATTCTTAACAGTGGAAGTGGGTTTCTGATAGAAAAAGGAAGATTCTGGAGGAAGAAAGAGCTGCAGTTAAAAATGTGAGCTTCCCAAGGTGGCCTTTTTCAACCCCTGTTTCTAAAGTTGTACAACTTTCTGTGTTCTGATCCAGTTTTGTTTTTTCTTTCAGTTCATCTCAATCTTGCACATTGAAATACTGGATTTCTCATTCTTATTTTCAGTTCTGGCTGGGCAGCCTGTTAGGATTTGGTGTCTGAGATGAGACAGGAAACAATGTTAGGAATGCAGCAGTCATCTCTGCAGCTCAAGGCATCACCTGCCACCTTAACTAACATTATCTTGACCTACATTAATCCAGTATCACACAAAACAAGTTATTTTGGCATAGTTAGGCTACAGATGGTGCCAGACACATCATGCATCAACTTGGAGCTAAATAAGCCCTTTAAAGACAAGTAAATTGAAAATTTTTGGAGATGTGGAACTTTTCTTCTGAGGGGCACTCATTTATGAATTGCATAGGTTATTTTTTTCCTCCTGAGTGATGCAGGAAACAGACCTTTTAAAAAGTAGAAGAGGAGAACAACATGTTTGGGGTACACACTTGATTTGTTTCTTTGGGAAGCTGAAGGAAATCCTCACATTCCAAGATGGCAGCTGGAAGTGGGGTCAGATTTACAGTCAAGTCAGTACATTTTGTGTTGTCACTGTTTGCAAGAACACTGTGATGATATGCAGAGCTCAGGACAGAAGTCTCTGCTGTGTTGTGCCTGGAGCACATCACTTGTGCTGGATCCTCAGGCAGGAGTTCATGCACTGCCCAGACCCAAAGTCAGATAAGAATTAAGATTAGACAATCCTGTGGTTTTTTTCCCTTCACTAACATTTCTTTATTAAAATGCATTCCATTAGGACAGAGAATACTACATAGTTGCAAAAATGTAAGGGTTTTCAAACTCCTGCATCTACCTTGGACCTGGTTTTCCCATAGAGAAATGAAGAGGTGATCATCTTAGAGTACCCACAAAGCAGATCATCAAACAGGCTGCAGCTCCATGGGGTTTCCCCCCCTCATCTGAATTACCTGACTGTGAATTACCAGGTTCTGCTCAGGGGCTTAACACTGCTTGCCCAGGGAAGCTGTGGCTGCCCCATCCCTGGCAGTGTTGAAGGGCAGGTTGGATGGGGCTTGGAGCAGCCTGGGCTGGTGGGAGGTGTCCCTGCCCATGCAGGGGGCTGGGACTGGATGGTCTTGAAGGTCCCTTCCAATCCCACCCAGTCTGTGATTCTATGATTAAAACGTGTAAGTCCATGGGGTTGATGCAGCTCATTGGTACAGCCAGAGCTTCTCTGGAGTCCTGAATGTGTTTTGTAGGAATAGAGTCCCAAATCCTGTCAAACATAAGGCTTTGCCTCTTGGCAGTTGTACCTACAGGCAGAAGCAAGACCAGCTGCCACCTAGAGCCCTGATGTGTAATGAAAATCTGGACCAAGACAGTGCAAGAAGAGATATGAAAGTCTCTTACAGCCTCTCCAGTTGAGTCTGTTTCCTCAGGTGCAGCTCTGCTACCCCTTTTGTTTCTTGCCTTCCAGGGAAGTGGTTGGCCTGCCAGTCGATGGATAACCAGATCCTGATCTTTGGAGCTCAGAACAGGTTCAGGTTAAACAAGAAGAAAATTTTCAAAGGTCACATGGTAGCTGGCTATGCTTGCCAAGTGGATTTTTCACCTGACATGAGGTAAGATTTTGTGGGAATGAGCTTAACACCTGCTGGCACAGACACTGAATTTCTTTCTGAAGCCTCATGGGTGCTCAGCCACCCTGTTCACTCACTCCCAGAGACCTCCAGCCAAGTGGCAGCATGAAAACCTGGGGTTCATCCTTGCCCAGTTTTTCTAGTCTGTAGCTCTGGTGTGGGTATGCTCAGTTCTTGTTCAGGTAAGACAAGTTGCCTGCAGAAAGTGACTTGGTACTGATGGATGAAAAGCTGGACATGAGCAAACAACAGGCACTCACAGCCCAGAGGGACAATCACATCCTGGGCTGTGTCACCAGCAGTGTGGGCAGCAGGACCAGGGAGGGGATTGTCTCCTCTGCTCTGCTCTGCTCTGCTGAGACCCCACCTGGAGAACTGTGTGCAGTTCTGGAGCCCCCAGCACAGGAAGGACATGGAGCTCCTGGAGAAAGTCCAGAGGAGGCCACAGAGATGATCCTTGGGCTGGAGCAGCTCTGCTCTGGAGACAGGCTGGGAGAGTTGGGGTGTTCAGCCTGGAGAAGAGAAGGCTCCAGGGAGACCTTAGAGCACCTTCCAGGGCCTGAAGGGGCTCCAGGAAAGCTGGGGAGGGGCTTGGGACAAGGGCGGGGAGGGAGAGGACAAGAGGGAGTGGCCTTAAACTAGAGCAGGGCAGATTCAGATTGGGTATCAGGAAGAAGTTCTTTACACTGAGGGTGGTGGATCACAGGAACAGGTTGCCCAGAGAGGTGGTGGAGGCCCCATCCCTAGAAACATTCAAGGTCAGGCTTGAGGAAGCTCTGAGCAACCTGATCTAGTTAAAAAGGTCCCTTTAGCACTGCAGGGGGGCTGGACTGGATGAGCTTTAGAGGTCCCCTCCATCCTCAGACATTCTGTGAGTCTATGAACTCAAGAAAAGCAACTCTTATTCTATATTCTTGCCTGACTTAATCTGGGTGGTGTAGCACCTAGCCCAAGTCTTTCATGGTATCTGGCTGTAAAACTTGGGATCAAAGGAATGGCAGAGATTGTGATAAGTTTCATGTTCTGTTACTGGAAGGATGTTGGTGACCTCTAGAACGTGTCATGTAAATGTTAGCAAGCAGTAGGGAAAAAAAGAATTAAACACATCTTGTAGATGCCAATGGAAAGAAGATACTTCCTCATCCTGTCTTTTTCTGAGGGAATCTCTTTCATTCTTGTATTGTTCATTGGAGCTCTCAACTCTGCAGAAACAGCACAGTATGTGGAGATTGTTTTGTTTTAAAATCAGGTGCTATACAGTATTTTGCTACAGGTTTTTGACATTTATTTAGCAATCTTGCCCCAAAGCAAGATGTTCTGTTCAACACCTTCACATTCCCCTGGTAATACTTTTAGTATCATCGTGACTTTTATTTCCAAGATCAACTTGATGCTTCCTCATTTATGTGGTCTTCATTTAAATAGGGAACTCTGGGCTGCTTCAAGCTGTTCCATATTCAGCTGAAAGCAACCAGGGAAACACAAGTAGAGGAGCCTTGATCAGAGCAGTTTCCTTGATCTCAGTCTTGGGTATCTGCTCTCAAAACACTTTCTTGGCAAAAAATCCACCTGGGCATCATATTTGGCTGGTTCTTCTTGTAGCCTTTGCATCAGACTTTCTGAGACTTCTATGCATACATATTTGCTTACTCTCTGATGTATAAATATATATATATATATAAATATAAATGCACTC